GGGGGGTGAGGAGAGGGCGCCATTCTCGCGGCGTCACGCCATTCTCTGGCCTGGCCATGTAGAACATGATTCACGATGGCGTCTGATTGAGTGCCGCTGATGTGATGCCCCCACTACCCCCACCCCACCCTCCTCCTCTCACCCGGGCCTCGTCCTGCTCCTCCTCCGGGCCCCGCGCCTGGCTGGGCCCCCGGTTGGTGCGTCTGACGAGGCCACATTTGTCACAGCAGAGCTTCACGCGGCCGGACAGGCGAGGCAGAGCCAGCATGGCATGCATGCAATGATGCCATCTGATCCGATAGCACGTGTCCGTGGTTGTGTGAGTGAGAGGAGAGAGAGAGACCCCGTGGAGGGGGGGGGGGGGAGTCGGCCAGGACTCTTTTTCTTCGCATGATACTGCGCCACAACGTGCATGCACGCGACGTGGCGCAGGTCTTTAGAAGATTTGAAAAACATTAAAGGATGATACAGAGTTCCCTCGCAACGCGAGCGTGATTGTCACGCCAGACGTGACGTTCACGCCCGGGGTGATGAAAGTTGGTTTCTGATAGGCTGCGTCAAGCTTGCGTAAAAATCACGTTCGCGTCTCGTGAACTCTGTAACCACACTTAGATTTTTAACATATACAATATTGCATGCAGCCTCCTAAATAGCTGGAGTGTGCATAAACAAACGTGGACAGTAGTTTTGTTGACACTGTGAAAAATAAAAATAAAATGTTCTTTCAGTTTACAAAATATGTTGTACGGCAGTCATTGATTCGTACTTGTGATTTTCCAATTCGGAATCGTAATGTTACACCACACATCATGGAGAATTTTCCTGTAACATTGTAATTTTCTTACTTCGATGTACTGCTTTTTATTTCAAAACGGCTCATTTCTAGTACCATGAAGATGACATATGACAACCGAACATCGTTCCGCGCCTACGAACTTCATCGTCATTTAACGACCTCGACATCGTTTAATCGAACAACACAATTTCTGACATATTGGAAGTAATGTGTACAGTGTAGAGAGGCGGCGGCAGTTGATTCACAAAATAGGAGGAAATGGGGATGTGTGTCACTGAATAGCCACCGCGCCCCGCCCCGTCTGTCCGGGACTGGCGGGAGGAGGTGGTGCAGGT